GTGTACTGTGCAAGCTATGTGTTCAGCCGATTCCGATTTTTGGATCCACACCTTTGGGCAAGCTTTTTTTTCTCTTCAGATAACCTCATGCATGGGCATACGTGTCTCCCACAGGCGCTCCTACATTAACAAAAAACCCTTTAACAGCCCGATCTGGAAAGAGGGTTAGAGTATTCTCCAAAAGAAGGCAATATCGAGAAGTGTGTGGTCTCGATGTCCCATTTAGTAATTCCCCTATATTCCTCGATTGATTACCTGATGGCAGCATAAGGATTCTGGCAGTGGTCTAATCTTTTATCTAGCCTCAATTATGTATTTCCCTCTATCTTATTCGAAAGTAATCCAAAATAGTTGTCAATCAGCTTTCATAGATAATTTTTTTCAACCATAATTCTCCTTAGCTTTCTCAATTTCTGGTCCCGATTTTTAAAGTCTGTCAGACGCAGGTTCCTTATTACTATAGACTTCATATCCCCTACGTCACCCCCATAATTGTGTTTGGAAAAGAAATTCAAAAGGATGCCTGATTTTGGTATTTCCTATACACATATCTACCTGATATAGTATCCCCCTTGCTGAGACATCAAGAAAAGGTAAACCATGGTGAATTTAATCTTCCCATCGCTTTATCCTTTATTTAATATAAATTTTAAATTATTTATTTTTTATATTTAAATTATTTTATTAGCATTCTCTTGAAGATCAAGAATTACGTGCGGCTCGTGAATATTACACGGAAGAAGAAATGGCCACTCGTTTTAAAAGACGCAAACGCCGAGTCATGTCATCTCGTCAGAAATTAACAGCCATCGAGTTGGAGACCGCTGTTTTAGCCTCAGATCCCATGAGTTATTACGAAAAAGATGATCGCGACCATGGAAGTCGCTCTCAGAAATCTTCAAAGAGTGAATCTCTCAGTGGCTCTAACAGTGCGCGTCGTCGTTTACAAGAAAATAAATCAGAACCTCATGCCAATAGAGGCAATATAAAAGAAGAAAATTTGGAGTCAAAAATCGACATGGAGTCTGAAGACAGATCTGTTTCAATTTCTCAAGATTCTGGAATTCAGCCTGAGATTCTTTCGATTTTGGATGTAAATACTCTTGGCGAAAACGATATTGACGCAGGTAGACCTTCCTTCCTCTTATTTAAAAAATTTTATATTTTTATTTATTCCGATTTGCTTGGTTGCTGTGGTTATTGAGCCTGTGCTCATTATTATACGTTTTTCAAGCCTTAAAGGATCTTTGCATTATAGTTTACTAAGAAAAGTTTGTTTTTAGAGTAGTATCTTGCTTTAAAAATGTTGTGTTCTTTTTAATTTCAAGTGTTAGTCTCTTATGAATAGATTCACGGATAGGTCACCCCAGCATGCTACTATCTGATGAAGTATGGTATTGTATGAAAGCCAACTTTCATGTGGATAAAGTAAATCATTTATTGATGCTAAATTTTCAGATTTAGATGAGGAATGGATCGATGCAGAATCTGAAGAGGATGAATTACGCTTGGAGATGGAAAAGGAACTGGATCGTGTGAGAAGACTCAAAGCTGCTTCTGTAGCCAAACCGCAGGTAAGCTTTTCAATTACCACAGCCCCTTATATGATACTATTTATTTATGTCTATATCTTGTTTAACCTTCGCTTGTTTTTGGTTTCTACGATGGCTATATCTACTAAGAATGCTGGTGAAAAGCTAAGATATGGAATGTAAAGGGAGTGGCCACAGTGAAGAAAACGATGGCGTCAAGTCTGGCTTGTATTTTCATTCTATATGCTCTTTTGTTTTCCTTAAAAGCTTAAGTGTTGGCATTCTGAGTTGCCTTCTACAAATATTAAGCAATTATAAGTTTCCTTTCTTAATTATAAGCTAGAAATAAAAAACGATGTCTTAATCAATTTGGTCTCTGCTGGTCTATGCGATCTTGAATTAAGGGTGACAATTTACATATCAAGAGGAGTTGGAGCAAGGACTTAAATTGGACCTGAAAATTGCACTTGTTCTAGTGATATAATTTGGTCATGTTAAAAAAAATTAGCTTTATACTGCTTAATAAGATAAAAGGATTGATAGAATGCACTTTCGAAAGATAAATTATTATGGGTGAATATTAGCCAAGTCATCTATTTATGTCGTTTAGGCTCGATAAATCACGAAGTTGAAATACATTATTTTCTTCGTTTGAATGGATTATTTAATATATTGACGCAGGTAGACCTTCCTTCCCCTTAAATACCTACATTACATTACATTAAGAAAAAACGGTGAAAGTGAATCAACACAGACTAAAAGTAATGTGGTATGGTCATTTCAAACGTATTCCATCCATCAGTTTTAAGTTGTTGCCAAAAAGAGCCATTTTAATTTTCGCCTTCATTTTGAATAAATCTCATATCCATAATCCAACTAACTTTGCTGCTTCAGGGTGAAGCCGCTATCACTCGCTTAGCCTCAGAGGTGCTGTCTCGCCAGCGGCAACAAGAAAAAAATGGAGAAAATACTAGTAGCATTGACCCAGCGTTGTTGGCCGGTTCCAGCGCGCAACCAGCTCGCTCTAATGCTGTTGTGTTTGATTCAACTGCCGAGTTCTATAAGTCTATTGGACTCGGCTTTCAGGCCTCTTTGCAGAGCCAACAGGCCGCTATGCAGGAAGAAGTCAAGGCAAGAGCCAGACTAGAAGCAGCAGCGGCAGCGACGTCTGGTGGAGGGGAAGATGACATGTCGACTGACGATGATGACGACGATGATGATGAAGATGACGATAATGAGGATGGAAAGCACAAAATCAAGGGCAAAGAAGGCGATGATGATGGTGATGAAGACGATGAAGATGATGAAGCAGATTTAGATGGTATGCGTTTAGGTGAGGATGCAATCGAATCAAATCATTTTACTCGACGAAGAAAACGTAAAGGCGAAGACGACGAAGATGGCTTCGTACCTCGTGAGAGTAAGTC